TTCTCGGCATGGAAAAAGCCTTTTATTTGTTCCATTGTAGCCTACACATGCCAACATAGCTACCTACTTGAATTGGGCAGGCTTAACGTAGGATTGGAGGGCAGGGACTTTACACTGGAGACATGCCAGTTAAGCATCTCTGAAGGAGGAAGCCAGCCTACAGGAGCAGCCACAGTCAAGGTGAGAACAGGCCAAGTCCAGCCAGGAAGCCCCATTAACTCCAAGCTTGGCACCTTGGTTGCTGTGCTATGGCAGCACTGACAAGCTGATGCTTCCTTGGTCCTGTCAGTAGTGTCCTTTTGCGAGTCTCAGGCTATGTAAATTGGAGAATTCCAGGTGTGACAACTGCATAATTGAAGCTCCTTGGTTAGTGAAAGGTGCAATATGTACTGGTTAGGTCTTGTAGACATCTCCCAGCTTTATCTTTGTACATTAGAAGGTATAGCAAGCAGTTTTCATCCAGGTGGTGTTGATGCCCAAGAAAACAGTACCTTCAGGTGTAGGTTATTACCAATTTCTTCAGATCAGAGATCTAGTGGAACCACAACACCAGAGGATGGTTAAAAATAAAAGGCAGCATACAAAGACTTTCAGTGACACCTTTATTGCCGAGATGATACAGTTGTTACAACATCAGGGTCAAGGACATGACAGGTCAGAGGATCACCATACAAACCAAATCTTTGTTCCACATTGCAGATTCAGTGTGGAGGATGTCCTATTCCTGTTGCTAGTCTCTATTCTTTGGTTTTTCCAAGGGGTGGGAAAGCACCTTTTCTTTGTCTCTTTAAAGATTACATAACCAAGTCCCAACACTTTGTTGGTCATTGTGGACTTCTCAGAACAGTCCAATATTCCTACCCAGGCCAGTCACACTTTGGACTCCTCAGCTTGGAGAACATGCACTGCTCAACCATACCCAGAGCCATAATTGAAAGACTTCCACACCATCCTACAGACTTGTCCAGTGGAGATACTGCTGAGGAAGCCCTCTTCGGCACAAAAGGACTAGGTTGTTGGACTGATGCGAGTACCTTCAGTTTCTACCCATTTCAGCAGCCAGTTGAGGAATGGGGTTCCAAATATCTTTGCTACAACAGTGTGCTGCCAAAATAGAGGCTTGATCTTAAACGGACGCCTGGAAAGTCCATGTAAGGTATTGTACATACCCAGAAGCCCTCAATTTTGCAGGCAAGTTTCATAGTCCTGTGCTTAAGGCCATACTGCTTTCAAAGTCAGTACGGAAAAGCAGCCAACTAAAGCAAGACTAAATTTCCAAGATGCTAAGCAGCCAAACCATTTTTTTTTTGCATGCAATACCCTGTATATCTACATTTAGCATCACGGAATAGGAGTTCTGCAGTGTCACTTGACTCCACAACAACTTACCCGTGAGCTAGAACACTTTCAAACCATCTTGGCAAAATATAGCACTCCCTACAGGACAGCATCACTTACTGTATTTCCAAGCTGCAGCACAGCTTGTCAAGTCCCATAGTTGATTTGCAGGCTTCAGTAACAATGTTCTGGTTGAATATTCCAAGCTATTGACATCTTGCTTGTCTCACCAAACATATCCCAATATTCTAGAGCCACAGGAACAGTGGCAATACAATTCACAACAAATAATTCTCATGTTCCTCTCTAACCCAAAGCACAATCTGAATGTTTTCCTCCCAGACTTCACTTTTATACGCCTCTTCATTAATTACAGGGGCTTGGCTAATTCCATGTTAACCTATCCCAAAAGCCTTAAAATCCTCATGTGGAATGCCCAAGTGTGTCTAACTCAATAATGCACACCTGCTTCCAAATCCCTGTCTGCTCATCTTGGCTCAGAGAAACACCACAGCCTGGGCTTGAGCCAAAATGCAGGTTTCCTACAGAAGGCTTCTAGGGACACTACGATGTTGCTTTAATACATTTTTGTTGAACATTACTAGAAGTGTGTTCTTTTTAAACCTTTCGGCAGACCTCAATTTATTTCAGAAATGGATTCAGAGAGAGAGAATAATTTGATTATTGTTTATATATATATTCCTTTATACTCTTCCTTTATACATATACAGACTTGTGATTTTAACTCTTAAATCAGTTCAGCACCCAATTATTATTATTTCTCTTCTCTTGTCAGTGCCTGCTCTGATTGGAATGGTCTTCTCAGTTGCTGTATCGCAAAGGAGAAAGCCAGTGCTGCAGACCCATTATAAAAACATGCTTTGCTAAAAGAGTTCTCTGTATTTAGAAAATAATGATAAGAATCGATGGAAGTGTTGTAATTTCCGATAACTAAGGGGATTGACACGTTACTTTGACACGTAGAATTTGCCTTCCAATACTTTTGATACCTTGTATTGGCTAATGATTGTTTAACTGTTTTTGCTGCTGAACAGTCTCCTTCCATTTTCACACTGAATTGGTCTGGTGTTTTGGTAAGTACGCATTTAAATTAACTAGCAGCATGAGTTTTTTTAATCACCAGTAGAGTCAGAAATAACATTTTGTTTCTGCTTATGGTTTTGGTTTTTCCTCAAGTACTCAAACATCACCTATGAGTTTTCATTTTTATCTCTTGATTTATGTAAATCCTTTCTTCCCCTAAACATGTGGCATCAATGTTTCCTCATGACCTCCCCAAGTTAGGCACAACCCATTATTAATAAACTGCTCTTACAGTTTCTACCATTTTAAAAAAATCATGGGAAGGGGAAATGGACCACGAATATTTTCCTTCAAAACTCACAGGAGATACTGTATCTTGTAAGTGTAATCCCTGCCAGAGGAGCATTTACAATAAACTAACACAGAGGTGCGAAGACATATAACCCTCATTTTGTCATGAGATTCATTTGATTGATTTTAGCACATAAGTTGTTACTCGGGTCAACTCAGGTCCGTCTTTAGATTGCCAAAGCTCATTACTTGTAATCCAGATCCATCTGGATACTGCATTTTCTTGCTTACTGACCTTTCTTTGCTGCTTGTTTGACACCAAGCAGCCCTGCAAAACCCCAACAGCCAACTTCAGCTGGGAGACTCCATACTCTCCAGCCATTTCTCTGACACTCGAAGATGAGGGACTGATATTTCCTGAGCTTTCGCTCATGTGTCTCCTCTATACTCTTCCCCCAGGGCACTGTCAATTCAATGAGGGAACCCTGCTTTGTAACTCTAGACCAAGGGATACAATGTCTAGCCTAAGACTCGTGCTGACTACTACCTCTAAGTTGAGCTTCTATAAGCATTTCCTTTACACGCTTGTGATTGATGTCAACTCTGTACCATTTCCCCAAGCTCTTTCTCGCTCATGGGGGGGGTGGTATCTTCTTAAACCAGAACCGTCCTGACCCTGCTCTAGGCCTTTTTAGGAAATTGTTCGTTTCCTTCCAGATTCCGACTGTCACGGATGTCAGAAGGGGCATGCCGTGGAATGGCCAGGAAAGCAATAAAGACCCTATGCGTAGTGGCAAAAGGGGGGTTATCCCGGGCTCGGGAGGTCAGCCGATGTTGGGTAGAAACCTATGCCCTCAGGCCGCGGAGGAGACGACCTGGTGCTAGGCGGGTCTCAAGACATCCAATCCCTCAGTGCTGAGCTAGGAGGAAAGGGTGACCCAGAAATATATAGCTCCACACAAAGACACACTGGAAGGACAAGCAAAGCACAGGGAAACTAGGAACAGGACAGAGGAGGAGCGCCCTCTAGCTGTAGAGGGCGTGACACCGACTCTTCAAAAGGAATGGTGGGTTTGTCTGGTTTACTGAGTGTAGCCATCGCCTCCAGCTCCTCCTCATGTCTGGGGTCGCTGTGCGTTCTTACAAATATTCTTCCACCTCCTCTTTAAAAACTCCAACTATCCTGATCTTTAAAAAAAAAATCCTAACACTTATATAGTGCTTTTCTGAACACTCCGCAGAAAGCACTTACAGGTAATGGGGATCCACTCCACCACAACCAGTGTGCAGCCCCACCTGGATGATGCAACAGCAGCCAGAGTGTGCCAGTCTGTTCCCCACACACCAGCTCTCAGTGGGGAGGAGAACAGAGTGATGGAGCCAGTTCAGAGATGAGGATTATTAGGAGGCCATGATTGGTAAAGGCCAACAGGACATTTGGCCAGGACACCAGGATAACTCTTTTCAAGAAATGCCCTGGGATTTTTAATTACCACAGAGAGCATTTTATCCATAAACAATGCTTATGGTAAGGATTAATGTTTGGAATTGAGGTTCTGTGAATATAATATATACTTCAGTACAGTGCACTAGTATTGAAAATTATGCTAATGAGTTAAGTATCATCATCCAGGTGGGGCTGCACATTGGTGGTGGTGGAAGGGAGTCCCCATTACCTGTAAAGCGCTTTGAGTGGAGTGTCCAGAAAAGCGCTATATAATTGTAAGCTATTATTATTATTATTATTATTATTATTATTATTATTATTATTAAGTCGTTACTGCAGTTAAGTAGTCAAATAATAAGTTGCAGTAATACAATGTGAACTACTTTGACATGAACCATGTCATGTCATGAAAACAAAACATGAAATTATGTCATGGGGAACTGTATTTACATTTTCTTTACACAATGAGTTGTGGGAGAATGGCACAGGTAATCCAGCCATTTTGTTGAAACCAACAGTCTGACTTAGACCAATGCTTGCATGAGATTATTGAATCAGACTGATACAATAAGCCCAAAAGGGCTACATGGATCAAATACTGTCCTCTCGTTTGAGCTTTCTCATGTTCTTGTAACTTCCTACACATCAGCTGTATGACTAATAAGAAGTACAAAGGTAGTAAATTGAGTGTATGATAAACGTTTAGAGATGAGAAATCTGACTGCAGCGTTCAAATAAATCAGGTTATAGAACAGTAACTGTCCTGCAAAGAACTTTAGACCCCACAGCTCGCTTGCATATTAATTCTTTCATTCGCATTCCAGTAGCTTTTGAATACTCATAAGGATTAAATGTACTGTGATTACTCAGATGGCCTGTAACTCATGGGGGCTTCTGTGACCACGCCCACTCGAACGACTTCCTTCGCAGGCCACGCCCCGCTCACCTGTCCGCCAGGTCGTGAGGCAGAGAAGGCAGCTGAGTGAGTTTGTTCCGCGTCTTGTTCTGGTTATTTTTTTATTTTTCTCTTATTTGAATGTAGATAAAATTTGACCTTTGTAATTATGTAATTTAAACCTCGCCGGATAAAGGAGTAAGACACGTATTTTTGTTGGGCGCTAAATAACATTTTTAGTGTTAGTCTTTTCCAGCGCTTATCTTGTTTTTAAAAAGCCCCCTGTGTTACACAGACAACGTGTGTATGACTTTTACACCGAGGAAAAGCTCTGTTGTAGCAGTAAAGACACTGCTGTATTGGCCAAACTTAGGTACCAAGTCTTTCAGGCTATTATGAGTGTTCGCATTTATTCATTATGTATATGGTACCATGTAATATGCTTTCTTTTCCCTGAAAACCCGATAACCAATTTTTAACATAAAATGAAAACGTCATTTTCCGGATGTTCTTTTATCTTAATCTTTCTCCAAGACTTGGTGAGCTTTTGTGTACAAAATCAAGCCTGTACATTTACCCTGACCCAACGCACCCTTCTTGAATTGTAAAGTTTTTAAAATTATTTTCCAGAGTATGTTGTCTGATTATGTTCTTATATCCGTGGTAAAACTTTTGCAACTAATGCTTTCTAGTTGAAATGGTCATTACATTTTACATTTGGTCTCTGTTGTGTTTTCCGTTCAGTGTCTTCGGACAGGAGGTGATTCCCACTAAATAATGGGAGTATAAACGTAAGTATATACATTTTATTCATTTCTGTACACGAATCTCATTGAAATCCGTTCTGCGCTATCTGCCCTGGTGAAAACGCCGTTTGCTGCTATGAAACCTTGGTTAAATGATCTTTAAATGGTCATTTAAATGCATGTGTTCTTGTGTTTCCAGTTTGGTGTCTTCGGGCAGGACATACTTGGCTCAGCTGCTGGAATGATCTATGTAAGTATAAAACATTTTATTCATTTATACATATCATATTGAAGTACCGTATATACTGTACCTTCCGAAAATTGTTGTTGGAAAACGTGGTACATTTTGTCGAAAGAAGACTCAAACAAGGCGATCCTAAACGGCAGAGATAGTTTTGACATGACAATATTGTAGGCCCACTGTTTGCAGACATCCTTTTCTGCTAAAACTGCGATCACTTTAGCTTTTGGATGCGCATAATACAGATTCATAAGAAACCGTTTTGGCTTCCAAATTACATCACAGCAGTTAAAACAACGGGACCTGTAAAGATTTCGATTAATTATTCCTGTGTTAGTGTGTAAACCACGTTATTTCAGAAAGACAATATGCTAATCAAATTGGAAATTGGTCAAACAAAACGCATTACAATGTGGTAGTTTCTGTCTAATCGATACACTGTGGCTGTATTGATTGTGTTGTGCCTTCGGCTTCGGTATTCACACTTGAAATGTAAGCCTGGGTACTTCAAAACCCTGTTGAACAGGAACATTTTCTGTTACACCAGGCTACGTGCTTTATTCCAATTGTAAATCTTTTGAAACTGTTTCATCTTCTGAACGTGTCAGTCAATACAGAAGGTCGATCTAACTATCTGGGATAATTTCGAGATCCCTTTTGTAACAGAAATCACAGCTTATACTTTGATACAGTAATACTATGTGATATAGTAATAGTATATATATATAATAGTATATAGTAATACTATTACCGTGATACAGTAATGCTAATACACCTAAAGAAGGCTCCACGGCCAAAACGTTGTGTTTTCTTTCTAATCTTTTCAGCATGGAATAAACCTATTACTTGTTCCTTTGTAGCTAATACTGATTTCCATAAAATGGAAGCCCGTTTCCACCAGGGCGTAAAAAAAACGCGCTATGGTATCTCGCAATTGCGACTTTGTATCTCACAATTCCTACTTATTATCTCGCAATTGCGACTTTGTATCTCACAATTGCGACTTATTATCTCGCAATTGCGACTTTGTATCTCGCAATTGCGACTTTAAATCTCAAAATTACAACTTTATATCTCAGAATTGCGACTTTAAAACTCAGAATTGTGACTTTTTAACTCACATTTGCGACTTTGAAATAGTCCACATTTCATTGTCCTGTTGTCATTGTAACGGATTCGGGTTCTAGGGCATGTGCCCCCGCCGCTCAGTGCATGGGCTCGAACCCAGGTCTTGCCAGCTGAGCTAAAGAAGACCTTCTTTTTTAAGTAAAAAGGAAATGTACCGAAATTGTTTTGGATAGATTTCCAAGATGTTGTGAAACATTTAAAGGTAAATGTTAAATTATATTGAGATCTGATTTCGATAAAGGATATGTTCTTATTATTAATCGGTTAATTATTTTGGCGAAATACTTCATCCACAAAAGTGAATAATCTAATACTCCTCCCTCCCTTAATGCTTTTAAAGTACAATTCCATTTTTGCTTTAAGTATTAGAAATGTAAAGAATCAAAAGGCAAGACATATGTAGAAAGTATAAGTTTCAGCTTTTATAATTGTGAATTCCTCTGGATGTGAAGTGTCTATTTCTGTAGCTTTTTTTCATATTCTGTTTCCTTTTTTTGTATTTCTGGTGTTTACATAACTTTTTTTAAAAGCCCACCGTCCACTATTCCATCCAGGTACTGTGGATTTCCTGGCGGAAATGGGATTCCATAAAAATTAGTGTAATTAATTTGGCTTTTATCAGGGCACTGTACAAGACAAGTCTTCAGGCCTATAGATCCTGTGATCCTGCGCGATTCATGAATTTAGTGTAACGGAACGGCCGACATACAGGTTGTGGTAGTTCAGGTGGGGAGCTGAGACAGCATGCGTAGGCTGGAAAGGAACAAGTAAGAGGTTTATTCCATGCTAAAAAAAAAAGAAAGAAAACACAACGTTTCGGCCGTGGAGCCTTCTTGAACCCGAAGAAGGCTCCACGGCCGAAACGTTGTGTTTTCTTTCTTCTTTTTTTTCCATACAGGTTGTACGATCTGGTTGCAGTGCGGTGACGGCACCGCCCTCCGCTGCGCGTAACAGGGATGCTGGCCTCCGGGGCTAAAGAAGGTATTCTTTAAAACGCGTTTTTAAAAAAATGCGCTATGGTATCTCAGAATTGCGACTTTATGAATAGCAATTACGACTTTATATCGCAGAACTGCGACTTCAAATGTGAGATAAAAAGTCGTCATTCTGAGATTTTAAGAAGGTCTTCTTTAGCTCAGCTGGCAAGACCTGGGTTCGAGCCCATGCACTGAGGCACGAACTAGGTTAGGAGCGGCGAGGGCACAAGCCCAAGAACCCGAATCCGTTACAATGCCAAAAGGACAATGAAATGTGGGCGATTTCAAAGTCGCAAATGTGAGATAATTCTGAGATTTCGTCATTCTGAGATTTTAAGTCACGGTTCTGAGATACTGTACCATAGCGCGTTTTTTTTTACTCCCTGGCGGAAACGGGCTTTCATAGTTTTCTGTCGTTTTGCAGGAAATGCAACGAAGTTCCAGTCTTCATTCTGGTCGCTGCTTCCACGGATTGCCTTGGAGAAACAGGAACATGCTCTGCTTTTCCGTGCAGTTGCATGCAAATCTTTTCGTAGTCTGTTGATTTTGTTAAAAGTATTTAGCGTTCGTGTGGCCGTGCTTTGACACTTTGTAATCGAAATGCCTGTTCATTTTCACTTGAAAGCCTGTGCATCAGTCATACTGCAATGCTTTGTTTTGTATGCATTTTTTACTCAATAAATTATTCATTGGAGTTTGATTTTGTTCTTTCATTTCTCATGCAGAGCTCTGTACCCCCTTGGCCCTGAAAAACCTTGATGTTGGTGAGTTTCTTGGCGGAGAGATTTTGCGAACTGTTTCTGAGAAACGATGCGATGAGCTGTTTTATCCTTGGAGTCACCTACCGCAAGGGGACACCCTATCGCATTGTGACTTGGAATCTGCAGAGGCTACCCCCTTTTTAAGTGTGCCCAGATTGTCCCGCCAAAAAACCGTCCACTCCTCTTTTTGGAGAGGGGGGCTGGATGAATGACCACAGATCAAGCCAAGTCCCCTCACTCCCAGCAGGAGAGGAAGGCAGGCTGGTGATGGCTTTGGTTCCCTGCAGAGAGGCAGGTCACCCGGAGCGCTCAGTTACAACCTATGACTGATAGGCTGAGTATGACCTTGATGACTCAACTAAAGCCATCAGGGACTACTTAAATTGGCAGGAAAATTTGGAGCCACTTAAAAAGGAGGGTAGTCCCCGCAAAATGCAACAGTGTGTCCCCTTGCGGTCCATTCCGCAAGGTAAAAAACAACCCTTCGCATCGTTTTTTGGAAATTGCTTGTGGTCGCTCCAGAGTCTCCAGCCAAAATCTTAAAGCAGTGAGACATCAACCCAGTCCAACCCCCTCCCCCACACTTTGAAACAAAATACAAGACAATTCAGAAAATGCGATCAACAATTTTTATTGCAGAATGCACAGCACATAGCAGCGGTCACCACGAACCATGCACGTTCAGAACTTTACTGCAATAAAGGGCAAGATACATCACTGCATCGGTACATTACAGATCAAGCCAATGGTGTCGAAACCGAAATTGAAAGAAAAGCACCTTGTCAAGAATAGCTTGTCATCGCACGACGCGTTGCTGGAAAGGAGATCGGTTGAGCTCTGAGGATAGAGCCGCTGAACTGAACACAGAAGAAAAAGGATCAAGTTAAAAAGATATCGGATTTGCAGAATCGATTCACTTGAAGTTCTGAAGTCTATTAACTTTGTAAATAAGCTGTCTGAATAAAAGAAATATACAAACACGCTCAAATTCAGTGAGAAATCACAGATACATCCCAGTAACACTACTCCAATATTTAGAAAGTACATAGAAATTCAATGCTACTTATACATTTACGATCAAGTACCACTTATAGCGTGTATCAAATTCGATTTTAATCCCTGCTTAAAAAACCACCATTAAGATTTGTTAGTATTACCCACCTTTACCCAATGGATTCAATAGATGAATATACAGTAAGAACTAACGCCCTAAGAGTTTCCTATTTCTGTATAACAAAATCAAAACGAAACGCAAAAGCCGTCATATACTTAGTTCTGGTGTTAAAATGCTGGGAAATACGTGTCTAATCGAGTTACAGAAATATGAATACTATAACGAAAGGTAGGAATATAACTTACCCCGGAAAAAATAACTTCTTCATAAATGGAGGCCCATTCTTAAAATACTTTTGTCACCTGGAGAAATAAAAAAAAACCGTACGAACTAGGAAATTTAATCTTTACAATATTTTATCATTTCGGAGCGGAGAGGGTTATTATAGCCCAAACCCGAAATGGAGAGATTACACAGCTATTAACTTTATATAGGACATGTTTGGCGGTAAAGTACAGTCTTTCTTCGTTAAAGGAAACTGACTGATATGGGATACCATATCTTTAAAAAAACTTACTTAATGAAAGATAGGTATAAGAACGCTTAATGCAGACTTTTAAACCTTCGAGAGCACGCTCAAAAGGACAGATCAGCAAAGTCGGCGCCCTAAAACACAAATTAAACCGAAACAAGTTCAATTAACAACAACACGTTTTTATCTAGCTTTCTCAAAGTGAGATTTGATTTTTTGCACTTACACTAAGAAACTTAGAAATCAAACGCAAACGCACCTAAAGCCGCAGAAGGTCGCCCCGCCGCCATCTTGCCGGGCGCACCTGTGGAACAGGTGGACGGGGCGTGTCCGCTGAGGAAGGTCACTCTGGAGACGGGCTCGGCTCCTGAATGACGGCTGTGGATTCTGTTACAAGGGCTCAACACTGACCTCGCTGAAGACAAATAGAAACTTAAACTCACCAAATCATACATAAAATATGTAAAGGCTCAGGAATTTCCCACAACCTGATACAGTGACGTTTCTCTAAGAGGCTGTTAGTCTGGATCGTTTAGCTTGCGGCCGGTTAATGTAAGAGAATATGCCGGAGAGAGACCCCTGTTGCTCCTAGTTAGGACAGCACCTCTTTTTCACTCCTAGTGCCACACCTGTCCTCAAGGTGTCTCAGTGGTATAAGGGGCTGCTTTTTAGAATTTAATGAAGAATAGTTGATTTAAGAAGGACAAACCCCCTATTCCCTCCTGTTTTGGAAGGCCCCGAAAATGAACCCCCCCCTCCAAAACGGCCGACGCGGCAGAGAACAGCCACCTCCACAAACTCACACTGCCAGCGTGAGAGCTAAACCCGGGGGTTAGAAGTCAGCCTGACAGGGAGGCTTGGGGCTTGTGTTTAACTCACTGGGAGTCGATCTGCTTTTCTGACTTTTAGAAGTGCCGATAATTCAGCCCGCGGAGCCACCAGGCCGGCCGCGCGAAATGCCGGGAATGTCCATCTCTTATTCAGTCTAAAACCAAGACCGTTCCGAAACGAGGCGGTTCCCCGTTTGCTCGCCTGTCAAACGTTAAGGCTACTGAGGCGCCTTTGTAATGCACTTTTCTAGCTTTTTTATTCGACTGGACATGCCGTGTTTATCTTTTTCAAATGACAGTGAAAAAGTATCATCATAAACTTTGCGGCAGAGTTGGCGGAGCCTGTAAGTCATGGGTCTGACGTGAAGTCTGAGTGGTTAAAATGTTGATGTTTTTTATTTGTTTTTGAACAAATTGTCAGGAATTATTCTAAAGACAACCATTTTTTTTAAGATACGAACGATTAAATTAATCTACATGTTGTATACCCCACCTTTTGTCTGGACAGAGTATCCCTTTAGTTTCTTTATACCATTAGGTGTCACGGCATGATATATTTCCATGGGCGTTTGACAAGGTTCCACATATACGTTTTATCCTTCAGAATAAAGATGTAAAAATCAAAAGCAATGCATGTAAATAGCATGTGAACTGGTGTAAACACAGAAAACAGAATAGTGATAAGGTTGTAATAGCTAGTTTTGCAATCAATGGAGTATCACATCGCTCCTTATTATTCCGATTAGAGAAGCTATTATTTACTATAAGAAAGTTACTGTAGTCAGAGTGATAAGAATGTTGTCTATGAATATCAGATGCCTGACAATGTGGAAGCAGTGTGCCACAGGTATTTAGGAGGTTTATATTAACTTATAATTGTCGTCTTTAAGAGATGCAAATTCGTTTTGATTAATTTAAAAAGGCATCAAAAGTCCATATCGTGTTATACACTGTATACAAAGTGAAAAGTGTTGGGGAACTATCAATGAGAGATGCACAGTAATCACAGGTGTGATTGACTATCAAGCACTAACAGTACAATTCTTACTGCTTGATCCAAACTTAAAAGACAGAAATTCTGAATCTTTTCATGATCTGAATGGCTGGGGATGAATAAAGTATTTTAAATTCAATTGAATTGGAAACAAAATTGTAAGTGTTCAATTAAAGTTCAATAAGGTTACTTAATCAATAATTCAAATACAAAGACATGGATAATTACGTTTTTTAAAGTATTTCCGAGTCTGCATATGTGAAACAGAAAGTTTCCACTTTTGTTGAACTATTTAGGTCAATTTAGCACATAGTGGCCCTTCAAAACAATGTCCGTGTACTTTTTCACGTTTTCGAATTTGCTTTTCATAGAATAGTAAGTACAACAATGATCTTGTAATATAGGGAATTGATAATTCTAGTATTTGAAATTCTGTACGTGCCTCGAAAGACGGGTCAAATCTTTAAACGTCTCTTGATTTGCATATTTAAAACGGACAGAGGAGAAACTGATTACTGCTTCAGTTTTAAAAATATTGACACAGCTACGAAGTATTAAGATGTGCAAGTTAAAACTTTTTTTTTAAAAACACGCAACTGTTTAATAGACCACTTTTTAAGCCTAACCCCGCAACTTATAGGATTTAGGAGACAAACAATATCCCTGTTCACACAAACGCACAGGAAATATTCGTATTAAATGCAAAATCAACCGCCCCCCAACCAGGCAAAGAGAGAAACAAAAAAGAAACAACATTGCAGACATCCGTATCCTCGCACCCAGCAATGGACCGCTTTCCAGACGGGTTTAATAGCGGTCGAAGTCGGCGTTCATGGCCACGTGATTACCCGAAAAAGATGGTGCTATTTCACGATAATGAAAGCAGCTGGGAAGCTACTTCCGACTGCACAAACGCAGCACTAACGAATGAGACCGGTTCGGTTCGGTTCTCCTGCGCCGTTGTTGGGTGGCGGATTGGCTTCACGCCGCCGAAGCAATAAGGCCTAACATTTCGGAAACGGACACAACAGCGACTTTCAACGGCTACAACCGGCACAAACGATTGAGGTGGGTTTCATCTTCGTTTGTACCGCTTGTGGGGGAGGGGGGGCATCTTCACCGAGCTTGGGGAGCTGACAATATGCATTTCAAGCACTGATTGAAATCAAGTCAGACTGTAGATTTACTTTAAGGGTTTATATACACGTGAATATACCAATAAATAACATGTAAGAACTTGTCAGGATTCCCCCGCAAAAAAAGGTTTTATTTTCCAATAATGAGCATTCTGGAGAGCAGTTTTTAAATGATTTATAAATATAAACTTAAGACAACAATTTCAAAGTCTATAAACCCTTGGTCTTCATAAGACCAGTTGAATCATATTTAATTCATCTGGGAAGCCCGACCAGGAGAAGAATATGTATCATTTTACAATGAATCTTCAGTAGTCACAGGTGCTACTTCACCAGAAACCTGGCAGTGGGGAGTCAGGCAGCAGTCAGCTGGGTACAAACTCTGGACAGTCTGTCATCGGAGTGACCAAGAGTGTCTGGCTTTGACAGCAGCTTCGTCGGCTGTAGGGTCTTGAGATGACAGACGTCTTAAACCACGGGATACAAGCAGCTTACTCAGGTGAGAGGCCCTGCTGTCTCATTCTAGGCTGTCAGTAAATGGCTCAGTGCAGGCTGCTTGTAAGTTGCTGATGAACAGTTGGATGTTCTTTTGTTAGTTCTCTCCCTTTAAAAAGTCTTGTTTGTCGTTTGCTTTCTTTAACTTTGTTTTGAAGATGCAGGGAATAAAAAGGGCGTTTCGGGTTAACAGCTGCCTGGAGAAATCTAATTTTAATTCATACGTCTAGTGCTTTTCATTAAAAAGAATCATAAAGAGCTTTACAGAAAGGAGGGGGCCCAAGTTCATCCACCTTTGCAGTGCGCTCACCTGGTTGATATATGGCCGCCATTCTGTGCCAGTGTCTTCACTACACTGCAAGGACACTCACCCTGCAGTCTATGTGGTTCCTAATGCCTCACTATAGTGACGTGGACACTACACTGTAAAAAGGCGCCATCCTTCGGATGAGACATAAAATCGAGGTCCTGACTCTCTGTGGTTATTAAAAATCCCAGGATGTTTTTTTAAAAAAACTAGGGTTGTAACCCTGGAGTCCTGGCCAAATTTCCCCCTGGCCTTTACCAGTCATGGCCTCCTAATAATCCCCATCTCTGAACTGGCTCTGTCACTGTGCTCTCCTCCCCACTGAGAGCTGGTGTGTGGGGAGCGGACTGGCGCACTCTGGCTGGTGGCGATAGTGGGATTCCCCATTACCTGTAAAGTGCTTTGAGTGGGGTGTCCACAAAAGTGCTGCATAAGTGTAAGGAATTACTATTGTATTATTATTACACAGCAGAACAACTTGAATAACAAGAACCTACAGTACATCACCAGTTAAACTGGGGGACTTTAAGGAGGTCAAACTGTACAAGCCTAGAGTGGAATTTAACCAGGACACTGGGGTTCTAATGAACAAGTATCTAACACAGTGTTCCAGGTCACCATGCTGCAATTTGTTTTTTAAAATTCTGATGCAGAGTGAAGAGCATCTCCTACTGGTCCACCAACCCCGCTAACAGAAGTAACAAGCTGGGCAGGACTAACCGGACCAGGGCTTGTTCAGCATTCTAGATCTAGATCAGATCAGGCTAAGGGTTGTATTTTCTGCTGTCCGCTGATATAGGACAGTTCACTTGATTCGTTAAAAATAGTTATCCTTAACGTTGTTGAATTATAAATCATCACACAGTTTAGCAGTAGTAGGCAACCCTGATCCTCCAGCGTTGTTTGTTTCGGCCTCAGACCCAGTTGAACCAATTAAGTGGATAACAAGTCCGATTAGCTGTTTTCCAGGTGGCTCCAAAATCTACGAGAAGCTCATACTCCTGGGCAAGCAGTGGCCACCTCCTGGCTAGAAAGAATTTTAATAGTAGAGTACGTTTGTAGATCAGAGATTTATTTCCTATGGGATCAGTTTACTGTATATAGTAACATAGTTAGGTATGAACAGTAAAAAGACCTACCTTTTGGGTAGGAGTGACCTAGGAAAGGTCAAATTGCACCATTCTCTGTTGGTTGTGGACATTTTAAGTTGAAGTTTAATTTAACCAAAAATATGTTTCACAATTCACCTTAGAAGTCTCCTTTGTCTAGATTGTAAAAAGTCCCTTTGTAATAATACAGTGAAAATGGAAGAATGGGGAATATGGAGAATTCCTTTGTGTCACAGTACATACTGTAGTTTACACCTGAAAGCTAGTAATTACCTGAATCGTGTCGTCTCTGAAGGCAGGAGGAAATTGTGCAATTGCTCAATTTTCTGATATCCAAAATAGAATTCCGATGGACAGTTGCTTTGCAAATGCAATTAGTTTTGGATTTGACACTTAGACAGGTGTGGAAAATATTTGGAATATTTCAAGTCTAAGGATTGTATTTCTGATATAGGACAGTTCATTTGATTAGTCAAAAATAGTCTCAGATGCTTAATGTTATTGAATTATAAATCATCGGTTGCATGCCATAACAAGCCTAAATTAAAGCACCTAATGAGCTGGTGTCATTCAATTTTTCTGTGTTCATTCCTCATAGCTGTGAATACAAATTGGTGTAGCTGATTATTCCTTAGTTGACAAGAGAAAATGTGTTCT